TGTGCGTGGAACTGTAACTAAATAAGAAGAATGAGACTGCTTGAAATCATGGGGAACAAGTAATGCTCTACACTTGGTAGGGGATCATTTGGCAGCAATTATATATAGACTGGAGACAGATAAAAGGAATACTAAAAGAATTTATTATACATATAAAGGATATATATAAAGATATATAAAGGGTTCAGATACTTAAAAAATAAGGTATGTCTGTTTATATATATAAATTACTTTAATTTTAAACAAACCATTGGTTTATTTTCGATTGTGCTAAATAAGGGTGAACTTAATATTGTTGAGGGTGTTTTCAAGGAGTTTGTCGTACAGATATAGTACAATCTAGTATTAACTTCCTTATTATTCCATAATAAACTTCCCCAAATAATTGTTATACCCCAACCGAACCTCATCACCATCAAAAGTGAAATATTTTTTGTAAGCTCACTTAGCGCCTCCAGCAAGAGTCGTACATTTTCATCACCCGGCAAGGAACAGGATCAGTCTTCGCATAGCCACAGTCTCGGCCGTAGTTTCTCCTGGGCCAAGTTCAGACGTTGTCGTCGTCGTTGTCGTCGTAATCGCCTGGCGGGAAACGTTTTATAGTCTGTTGCCCGGTCGAGTGATGCATTTTTCATGACCAGTTTGTACGATTTCCTTTCCTTTCCGCAAACGCATCGAGCATTTTCATGTAATTCAATTCTGTATTTTCTCTACGTTCTCTTCTGTTTTTATTTTTTGTGGGCGCATTGAACCGACGTGTTTACAATTCTATTGACAATAGGCGGGAGGAGTGGACTGCAATTGGGCCTAGTCCTGGCCATGAGGCCTATGAGCCACCGCTGCGTTAACATGAGTTGAGTCTAATGAAATTCGACATCTGACTCGTGCTGGGCTCTGCGGTCTTGGCCTGGGTCACTCCCTTGATTTTTATAGGCGTGGGATTGCTCTGGGCCAAAACAATAAGGAACAAAACCAGCCAAGAATCGAAAGGAATTTAACCAAAGTGGAGCACCGTGCATCGGAGCAAGGGGAACCAACTGTTCATGGAATGTTGAAAGTACCTTAGTACCTTTAATGCCCAAAGATGCCCCTATCTGATGGTATGTCATATGACAAAACTTCGAATCCCGCACAGCATCCATTTTTTCCGGTACCACAACCGTTTTTGAATCCTAGAAAAATCCTAGAATATCATGACACGGAAATCTGCTTGTTTCAAATATATTTTTCCCCAAAGATAAATTGTTTGGTCATCTTTAAATTATAGAAAACGATACCGTAGAAGAAAAAGTTCTAAGTATGATTTTGCCAACGAATGCCAAACTTGTAAATGGAAGTGGCGAATTCGACCTGGTCGTACTAAAAATAGCCAAGGCTACGGACTTAAAAGGCTGCCCTCGTATGTGTATATATGGCCGGATCATCAATTGTTGCCTATTGGAAATCGGTTAAATCAAAGGCTGAAGGAAATCAGCGCGTGCCTGACGGACTGACTGGCTGACTTCCGCTTCGTTGAGTGTCTGACCCAAAACTGTGTTGAGTTACATGGGGGCCCCACTCTAGAACATTCCCTCTTGACTACCTTTCCTTTTTGGCTAGTTAATATTCATGTTGTCTACTGATAGTCTCGACGTGTTTGAGTCACCAAAGCCAGAGTGGCATCGGGTGACTCGTTTCTTGGCCACGCGACGGCCCCAGAGTTCAAAGAGCATGCCGAAGAAGGCCTTAACTACGACTTGATATACTACCATATGGGTAAATGACTCATCACATAATTGGTATTTAAATATTGGTTCAAGCTCAAATTTTATAGCCATATGAGTACTTTTTGTTTTTTTTTTCTTCCCATTAAAACGATTATCAATATTTTTTAGAAATATTTTCCAACATCGTCTGGAAACGACACTGTTCCCGATTCGGCTACGCCGGCAATTAATTCATTAATTTGTATTCAATTCCTGGAGTCTTGCTGTCTTACACCTCTTCAAATCGATCGATCGATCGATCGCTGGATTTACTGAACCCCTTTTCTTTGCTAATTAAATATTCTTTGCAGATAACGCACGACTTGTTTATGTTTAATGCTAATTTCCTTGCATGTCCCATAGCTGAAATTCTAAGCCAACAAAAGGGTCAAAAATACAAAATGAAAGACACGAGTCCTGTCCTCGAGTCATTGACAGCAATTTGATGTTCGGTCTGGTCTGTCTGCTACTGGATGAGAAAGTCGTGATTTATTGGACTATTCAGGCCAGGCCAATAAATTTCCCAAAAATACTTAAATAAATGCAAATAAAATACAACAAAAATACAAATACAAGCAACAAATTTTTGTAATATCTTTGGATAATCATTTAAGGTGATTTATTAATCAGAAACACTCTTCAATCATGAAACAATTATTATTAATTATCTACATATATGTACAATAAAATTCACTTCACACTGTCGTCCTTTTATAAAGGTATTTATTGAGTTAAAGCAGGCCAATATATTACCAATACAATTTTCTATGCGTGTAGATTCTATACTACTGATAATTGACAATTAGACAGTAAGGATAAGAATTTACTTGCAATTTTCCAAGTTAAACGTAAAAGTTAAACCTTTTAAACTAACTAGATTGTTCTTAATAAATTATAATATAGATTTCTATTCGTACTTATGATATGTGTAAAATTTACATATATTGGATTAAAAAAAAATAATCATATTTTATTAAAATGAATTCTGTATCGTTCAAGTAAACTAAAAACTAATAAATTTTTGACAAGATAAATATTTTTGAAATATTAAATACTTTTGTTAATGATTGTTATTTTAATTAGTGGATTTTTATAATAAATATTTAGAACCCAAGGAGTTCATAGAACACACGATATGATAGGATATAACAAAAAATTCCTAATGAAAATAAAACCAAAAAAATATGTTAAAAACCACGCACTTTAGAAAATTATTTTAGATTTTTATTTAACGTTTAGCGATGAAAACTGAGTATATTCTTCACGTATTCCATTCTTACCAAACACAATTGCTTACTCAATACCAGTCTGATCTTTTTCTAATATGCCACTTTCCACTCGTGATAAAGATGTTCCATATTTCCAAAAGGCAATCCATTTCCTATCCTCAATGTAGCCACAAACCACAGACCGAGAACAATTAGCTAATTGAATCCAATTAAATGCGAACCAAATCTACAACAAAGTCACAAGCACAGACAGACCCACACACTCACAAATAGAGAGAAAGAAATCTGATTGCCATTGGCTGACACGGCTTCTTAGCCCACCTTTTGTGTTGACCATAAACTACCAAAGCCAAAAAAAAGGCAACACGAGAGACGAAAAAAAATTATAAATAGGTTTTTAAACGTGGCCAACAGCAACCAATCAACGACTAGCAAAACCCACACAGTTCCAGACCACCTCACACAGATACACTCGACTGAGAGTTGAGCAAATAAATGAACAGAGTTGCCAATACATCGCAATGATTGATCAAACAAGAGCTGACTAACTAAGGTCAAAAACTTCGCTGGAAATTATGTAAAATATTCACAGATTGTATCGGAATTTTCCTTAAGTGAACAATGTTTGGATTGTTTTATTACTATATTTATCGACTGCTATTGATTTATGGCGGATTTGAATAGATTTACAGCTACGGCGGCTAGCGAGAGCCGGCTAAATTCCGTAACTGTGTGGGTTTAAGTCTGCATCTGTGTATCTGACATTCGTGTGTGTTTATACCTGCTGTTGGTGTGTCGAAAGAGGCGGCTACAAAATGATCGCTTCTCGGCTTGTATTGGCCGGTTGAATGAGTTGCATCTGTGTGTTGGTGTATCTGTGTGTTTTGGTGTATCTTTGAGTGACTGAGATTGCTCAGGTAACTACACTGAACGAAAAAGTCGACAGTTTGATAGATTACTTTGATAAGTCCATACAAAATAATTGCATAATAATTATAATTAGTGTGAATTTCAAATATGTAAATAAATAAATATACTACATATATATATGTAGCGGTTTGTATAGATAGAAAATAGATTTTTCCTGTAAATTTTTGCTCCTGGTTAGTTTTTGAAAATGATTTTTGAACATTTGAGCTCCAAAGATCTATCCATACGCAACAGTTGAGATTAATTAATTTGAATTGAATCATAATTGTGCTGCTTTTCTCTGAGTGCACGATCTGCCACCGCATTGGGTGAGCCGAGCCCGGCTTGGAGTGTCTTGGCCGTGTGCTGCAAACTGAACTAAAGCTACCTTACCTGTTTCGAAATCAAGTTTGTTGCTTCTGTGTCGCTTTGGTGATCCGCACAGAAAGGTGCACGCGCGCATTCAACACGGTTGTGGCCTCAACACAGAGCGAGAGAAGTACCGGGTTCTTGAGTGTTTATTTCGACAATCCGAAACGGATTTTCCATAAGCCAGTAAGGCACCCAATTGTCAAAACCATAAAGCCGTCGGAATATCGTCTTGTGGACCGGATCGCAGAGTCGAAGTCGCAGTCGGAGTCGAGGTCGGTGTTGTCGGGTCGCGAACTTTCGATAGTTCGATCGGCACTGTGAGATGGTAAATGCCTAATGAGTGATGATGTTGTGCGTCATTTGGCCAATTTGATTTGCTAATTCCTTACCGAAGCTCTGAGTTTTCTCGCAAAGAAACCCCATAAATCTTGATCTAATCAATGTGCTTAATATGCAATGATTCTTTCCATGAATACATACTCGTGTGTAAAGTGTATTGAGAATAATAGGAAATAATAATTTAATCAAATACGTACGAGTATTGTGCAATAGAAACCCCTTTTCGGATCTAATCTGCTTAGCAATAGTTAATATATGTTTTCAAATATTAAGTAAATATAAATACAAGTTATTCAAGTGTCAAACATTGTGGATAATCAAAATAAATAAAAATAAAAATAAAATCAAAAGTAAATTATGAAATAATTACTTATGCCAAAAGCCAGCCGTCGGAGCCAGCTCTATAACCAAATGGATATCGCAAATTGAATCTTTCGAGTAAAGAGGTAAGTTGAAACCAAGGTCCCCAAAAACCTAGCCCCCAACCCGTACGTAATTTACCAATTTCATTATTAACTTTGATAGAAATCAAACAACAAAATACTTAAAAAGCCAGCATCCAACTCAAACGCCGTAACCGTAACCCCAAAAAACCTAATATTCAAACCGAGATACTCACAGACACAGAGAAACACACACAGCTATCCGCAAAATGTACAATGAGATATATCTGCGGAGTTCTTCATTTCATTCAATGACTTTTGGTGGTCCCTATTCAAACAACTCCAAACAAATTCAAGCCCCGACTCGATGACACTCCAAACGTCAACTCGAACAAATTTTTTCCCCGTCTCTGCCTTGCCGGTCGGTGTCTTGCCTCTCGCTGTGATAAGTTCACTTGACAATGAGTTGCAACAAAGAGCCCAAAAGCCAGGCAGGCCAAGATGGTATACGGTACCCCCGGAGACGGTAGTGAATACTCAAGTAGAAAATTTGAAATTCATTTAACAAAACTAATTTCAATTGTTGCACTTTTGGCCCGAACGGCCAGTAGAATCCCAAAGAATAAGTACGTCGTTGTGAGATCTTTGAGATTTTCCTTGGCGCCATCCCAAGTGGCCTAGAAAAATGCTGTATTTGTTTTGAATATTGAAAGAAAGTGATAGTGGGTTGCCCAGAGGAGGGGCCAGATTTAATGATTAGGGAAACTGGCAAAGGAAAGTTAAAAATTGGGAGAATTCGTATATGGGTCAATGCTCTGAAGACTGAATTTTCAGGAATATTGAGGCAAAGCATTGTTTGAAAATATATGCAGTACGAATTTAAATTACAAAAAAATAGTCTGCAAATTTTTTTCATCTGAGTCAGTTGGACAATCGTTGCTATATTTTTTATATTCAGTCTAGATTAGGATGGAAAATTTTAATTTAAAATCGGATTTATTAAAGCTTAATTTCGCTTGATAATGCATAGATATTCACAGCTCTGAACAAGAATTTCGAGTAGTAGAGATAAAGTTTTTCCATTGAAAGACAAATAGAAAAATCTTCGCTTCCCTTAAACAACAGTCATTAATAGTGGCTGCTCAGCCTTAGAAAATAACATTTAAATTCAGCATAAAACACCTCACACAATCAGCATTGAAATCCCGTAAAAGTGTACAATACTTCTTCAAATTTATTTCGAAAGAAACAAACCGATAAAACAGAAAAAAGAAGATTTCCCTTTATACAAACAACTATTATATTTCCAATCCCTGCTCTCTCTCTCTCTCTCTCTCTATCTGTATGGCCGCTAGGCATAATCGTAATTTGATTGATCATTATTGAGGACTTAACGAGTTTCCGATATGATCAACATAGATATTAACCCACTGAGTGTTTAGTATTTGTGTTGTTAGACATTTCATTAACCTCTAGTTACTGATCCGCCAGGAGAGGCCGAAGCCAAATCAAATGTCATAAATCATTTTCGAGCTGCCTCCTCCACCGAACTCCTTATGCAATCAAATGTTCAAATAAAAAATATACCATATCAAAAGCGCCAACTCATCAGAGAAGAGGGGAAGGGGAAGGGGAATGGTAGCGGGAGGGTAAAGACTGGGGAGACGTCTCCGCATTGGGGGTACTCCGGAGTCCGGACAATTGTTCAAATACGACTCGATAACAATGCAAATCAATTCTTTGGATTGACTCGCCTTCAAACAATTCAAACAATATCTTGAACTATTTTCAACTATTATCTGTATCTCCGTGTACGGGATCTGTGTGCTACATCTGTGTGTGTTTTGGGACTGGCCAAAAGGGAGAAAAAATAATAACAAAAACCGACCTAATCAACAATTGTTGTTCCATTTCATTAGCAAATCGAAAAAAATAGAGTCTGCAGACTTTCATTAAGATCTACATATTGATTGATATTTTTTTTATTTTCCATTGTTGTTGGCACACAAATTTTTGCCCAAATAACCGTGACAATCTGCGACTAAGACGAAAATTGCCCTGTCATTTCTTACTTTTAGAATTGAGATTAAATATTTGCGAACGTGCGACGACGCCACGACATGTATGCGGATAATAAACGTGGCCTAGACAAGGTGACGGCTGCCACCGCGCCTACCATTGCCCTCCAACAGCAGCAGCAACAACAACAACAGCAGCAGCATATGCACCATCATGTGTTGCAGTTGCAACAGCAGCAACAACAACAGCAGCAGCAGCAGCAGCAACAACTCCAACAGCATCAGCATTTGCAGCATCAAATGCATACGCATCATAATTTCCAGCCACACGAAACAACAGCAACATTGTCACAGCAGCAGCAACAGCAACATATGCAACAGCAACAGCAGCAACACCAACAGACAGTACAACAGCAGCAGCAACAGCAACAGCAACAGACAGCCGGCATGTTTACAAGGTAAGTTCTTAGCGCCAACATTCTACCCGAAACCCCTCCCTCCATGAGAGGGACCCCCTTTGGAGACCTTATCATCAACCTCCCCGCCCAGCCAGGCACGCATCAGGAACTGCCTGCCCAAACATGCAAACTTTTAATTTCAATTTGTTTCGCACGCTTCGATATTTGTCAATTCGGATTTGAAATACGAGGCCAAGTTCGCATTCGAGGCCCAAGCCATTCTCCCCACAAAAAGGTACTCCTTTCGGTTTCTCGTCAGGGGATTTCTCTGCATGTTTCTTCCGATTTTCTCTTTGTTTTTGTTGCTTTTCGGTTAGTTCTTCTGCTGCTGCGGAGGCTGCTGCTTCTGCTGCTGCTGCCGGTTTTAATGGCCTCTTGTATTGGCAACTTGTAGTTCGCATTTATCTGGCTCTCGTAATCTTCTCAGCCAGCCCCAATCCACTCTGCGTACCCGTACCTTGTACCCCGTACCCACAGCGCCAATTCGCGAAAAGACAAAAAAAAACGCGCAAAATTCACTCTGAACTGAAGCTGAGACTCCAGCTAAGACTGGAGCTGGAGCTGGAGCTGAGGCTGGAGCTGGAGCTGAAGATGCTGTGCCATTTTATTTAGCTCCAATTAATTAGTGCTTCAAATGTTTTGCCATAAGTTAAACCCGCACAGTGCGATTGACATTACCACGTTGGCAATCGGACGTCCACTAAGACCGTCGACGACGACGGCGACAACGACTACGAAGATCCAAAATAAAAGGCGTCTCCACACCACCAGCACCAGCACCACCAACAACAACAACGTTGCGGAGATGCCAACAGAGTTAGGCACATCTCCTGGCTGCTGCTGCCGTTGCTTCTGAAATGTGTAAAACTCACGTGTGATGTTGTTGATGGCTCGTTCTTTGTTCGTTTCGCTTTTCTTTTTTGTTCCTTGCAGCGCCTTGCAGCAGTGCCAGAACTCTTTCTTCTTTCGTGTGGGTAGGTGTTGGCTCTTAGCTCTTGGCTCTTTTCTGTTGCCTTTTGGGTGGGTGTAACATTTGCTGGTGGCGAGCGAGCGGAAGCGGTATCCCCATAGAAATTAGACCATTTTGTAGTAGCAACTGAGCGGAACCATTAACCAATTGATAAGTCCCAGACGGTGACGAGCAGGCGACACGAAGCACTCCGAGCAGTGTGAAGAGTACAGAAGGGAGAACAAAAAGGAGAACTTTGCAAGAAAATCAATTAATTAATCTTCGTCGAACTATCTAAATTGGAGAAATTAGATTTTGTTGGCCGGGATTGTTTGAGATTGACAGATTAGGTTCAAGAAGCATCGACCCATAGCAACGATAGTTTGATAAAAATATATCGTTGAGAATTCTAGAAACCCTTTTACAATAATTGATAGAAACATAAATTCGAATGCAACCCCCGGCTCACTCGCTCGCGCCGATATGAGTAAAATATCGGACGACGACCCAAAACTTTTGCCATATAATAGAGAAACTAGCTAGTTGCTGATTATAAACCGATATACGCATTAAGTTTGAGAAAAAAAGATAAGGTACAAAAATTAAATCTTGAAACGTCCCTTAGTTCTTCAGAATAGGTACAAATGTAAATCCATAGTTCTATGTACTCCAACGACTATATGTATAATTAAAAAAGGACATCGATATACAATATACATGACTAGACATAAAGATCAAGATTTTACATATAAACATAACAGGGCAAGTATAACTTAAAGTACAATTTGTTGGAACATCAGTTATCTTATGATAAATATTGCAATAGATAATAAATAATAAAATATATAAATTTAAGTTACTAGTTGCCAGTTCATTCATTTGATTCATACGCGACGTGACCCATCAAAACTATCAATTAACACATGACATATTTGGAATTCCAGAGCTTAAAACCTAAGAGCCCCTTCCCCCTAAAATAAAGTTCATTGTTCGCACGGGAAAGCAGCACGCGCTCTTTCAAATACATACAGATACAAGTATAGATAGAGATACAAATACATATACATGTGCAGATGTATTGTAATGCTAGAAATGGTGGTAAAAACGGATCGGGTAGATTTCTATAAATATTTTCATGCTCCAACAAGAAATGCCAACAAAACGGCCGCTCACAAAACTGAAACAAACAACCGTTAAACAACGAAAACTATATCAATATGCTCTAAATAATAAATGACACTAATTAAAACGAAGAAAACTTGGTGTTTGTTGTTTTTAACACATCCAGCAGTGCCACTAGTCGAGCAGTAGAGTCAACAAACCTCGAACCACTCCACTCCCAGAAGGAAACCAACCAAAGCCAAGGAAAACCCAGAGTCAAAGCCAAAGACGCCTCTGAGCCAGCCGCTGAGATGCATTCGGAAGGGGCATTTGGTAGAGGGGTGCTTCCTGAGTGAAACTAACCGAAACCGTTGCGTTGCGTATGGTGTGTGGTTTGTACGGTTTGTGTCTATGTTTGTGTTTGTGTGTTGGGCCTGAGCCTGTGCCTGTGCCGATGGGTGTTAATTTTGGCAATTAGCATACCCCCTCAGATACAGATACAATTTTTGTATCTGTAACACTGCATAGGGCTCTCTGCTGGCTCTCTGGCGGCTCTGACAGCAATTTTATGCTGCTAATTTCATTAACACATTTCTCGAGAAAAGCGAGCAGCCCGGCGGGCAATGCTATTTACCCAAGTTGGGATATTAGACATTGGTGCAGTGGATGTTGCACCACATATAAATGTTATGGATCGCACACTCGTACACTGGAAATTATGTGTGGCACGGGGAAAGGTATTCCACTGAGATTAAAGCTTGCAGCTGCAGACTGATTTCTTCCTCTAGTCTATTATCTTTTTGTCAGTGCATGACTTCCTCCATCTAATTTCTTTGATCAATATTTGGTGACGCGCGTCGAAACTGATCTGTGTATGCTCTCATCTGACCAGTCATTTCTCTGCTCGAATATGAAATGCTGAGCAAATAAGTGCGCCGCCTCCACCCTGGGGCTAAGATGCAAAGAAACTTTGCCCTGGGGCTTACCAAATTATTTAGTTGCGGCATCCTTGTGCTAATTGCCTGACGGTAAAGTGCAGCATTCTCAGCCGCCTCTGCCGCTGCCCAAGCCTCAGCCGCAGCCTCAGCAGCCAGGCTAACCATCAATCCCGTGAGTCTCAGGCCCAGAGTTGGTAGCAGATTCGAAGTAGCAGCATAGTTGGGGTAATTTCTGGCCAAGCCACCGCCGGGCACAAAATATACTCGTACAGACCCAGACCCGATACCGAGACCAAGAACCCCAAAGAGCCCAAGTCATGGGAAAATTTCCGTACACACACAATTTGGGGTTTGGCTTACGCTTACAGGGGAGAGAGAGAGGAGAATCTGGTGGAGGAGGAAGAGGAGCCGGAGCTGGAACTCAGGGTAGAGGAAAAAACTCAGTTTCGCACGCAAATTAAGATAATCGAAAGCAAATGCAGCAACGGTAGCAGCTCTCCATGGTTAGGCTCGAAAAAAAAAAAAGGAAAAAAGAAAAAAAGAAACGGGTTTAGTACCCGGTAGCAACAAATCATAAAAATATGAAAAATTATGCGGCGGCGTCGGTGGCAACAGCAACAGCAACAGCACCAACAGTTCCTGCCACAAATGACGATATCCAACCAAGTCCAGACCAAACCGAGCCGATGACGACGTCGTCATCATCATCGAAGTGTGCTTTTGGCAGTCCATCATTAAATTGTGGCTAAGATTCCAATCAAACATACAAGACAAGGGGAAGAATCGAACCGGAGCAGCCAGCCGCATCAACGGTAGCCACTTGGATTCATTTCTTTTGAGGCAATGAAATTTCAGCTGCGGTCGCCTCTTGCGCTTCGCTGTGGTGTGGTTTTGGATTTTTACAAATATATGCGTCAAAATAAACAGTAGCTACTGCCCGCCAGACTTCTTTATGAGCTTTTGAGAGCAGTAAATTATATGGCTACGACTTGCGGGGCTACCACAAGCTCGTAGCTAGCCTAATTGATTGATTTAATTGAAGGATGGGTTAAGGATATGGATTTGTGGCTGTCCTTGAGGCTTTTGTGGAGATCTGAATAGTTTTTAGTTTGAGTTTTGAGATGTCGTTGGTAGCCATTAAGTCGAGTTGTACTTCTGATAATATCCCTTATAATATTCACTATCTTTTTGTATACCAAACTAGCTACATATATCCTAAGTAGCGGTTGTGCTTTGTCTCTCTCTTTCTCTCTAAGTTTTTCCCATCTCTTATGAAAAGTGCGAGCAAAATTGAGAGAGATACTATACCAATACTGTTCTACAGATCATGAAATATGGTACTAAAACTCCCTGAAATGAGAGTTTTAAAGTTCTAGTAGTGCCAAAAAGATTTTAGCCCTATAGAAAATCAAAGCTTCAGACTATAATTCATACCAATCAGAGACATTATTCGAATAGCTTCCTACATGAAATGACAGCTGGTTACGACAGAAATCTTCTCTCATCCAGCCACTAAGCATTATTTAGTAGATCAACCGTACATTTATCAGTGGATATCAATCAGAGTCCTTAACCGAATGACAGCCCATCGAAAGATCTGCGATCGCTCACACATGGCTCTTCTTCACTTCTGCCACTAAGCTGCCTACATTACACAGTGGATCATATGCCTGCATCTAGGGGCATGGTATCCCGTCTATCCCAAGCAGAGAGCTTGGCCTGCTGCTCCTCCTCCATCAATACACACCTGAGGCAACTCTTACCTATGGCCTGCCATATAATTTGGTTAAAGGCCGCAACCAACCGCTGAGCACCCCATGGTTATTAGATGGCCAACATTCAGCCAGCTTTTTGCAAGTCTTTTTTTTTCTTTAGTTTTTTGTTGTGTACTAAACGTCGCCCCGATGCTAATCTGTAGGTGTGTGTGTGTGTGTATATGTGTGAGAGAGTGTGTTTGGGGCACGCAGCGCGGTGGAAAAGGTATCGATTACTGCCACCGACTTACGCAGAATACAATAAGGCACCCGCGCGAACTAAAGACTCTGGGGAGGAGAGAGCGGTGTGGTCCTGCAGGCCAAACAAGTGTTTCTCACACAGAATTCCAAGAAATCCTCGGAAACCGAAAAATGGAAAGCATTGTGCGGCGCCTGGGCAATTAATTTGACTCAGGTCGGGCCCGGGCCAGGGACCGGGACTTGGTGTGGGTTCAGCTGAGGTTGGGTTTAGGGTTACCCAAAGCTCAGACTGGAGCCCGACTCGGACTCGGACTCGGACCCGAGAGTCGGAGAACTGCCCATCAGTTTGAGGGTCTGGCATTCATTATACGCCGTTTTGCACTATTTTTTTGTTCCTGCAGTCAGAGTCAGATGCTGCTGCAAAGATGCCGAAAGAGAAAGAGGGAGGCAGAAATCATTAGAGCTGCCCGCAAGCCCAATACCCTGGCCAAACTATATCGTGGGAATATGGCAAATAAACTCGCCCAAATTACACACACACACACACACACACACACACACAGAGCAGATCCGAGCAGAGCAGAGCAGAAATCGAATGGGAGTGAGAGAGAGATATCTAGTCGGGGGACTAGACAATTCGCACAAGTCAAGCCAAAGACAAGACGCTCCAGGAAAAGTGCAATAAAAATTTGCGCAAATTTCGTGTTTCTCTTGGCCTGCAATTGGTATTGACTGACTCTCGGCGAATTGAACTCAGTTGGAGTCTAAGTCGGAGTTGGAGTTTGACTCTGGGAGTCTCTGGTATCTGGTATATCTGGGGCTGGGACTCGACTTGTCTTGGACTGACGCCCCTGATGCATATTAAAACTCGACTTTGGATTGATACGTGGCCCTTCTCTGGTGGTGAGGGTGATGGAGTTAGTTTGCAGCAAGTTCTTGTGATTTATTTGCTGCACAAATTTTTACGATGGCGCTCTGAGGGCCCTCTCCATAAAATCACTCAGAAGAAGATCGCAGGACTGCGCCCATAGATGAGCATTTAAAATCCATTTAAGTTAATAGTTTGGCATTATATTTCTCTGGTCTCTGGTCTCGCAGGTCTCGCTGGTCTTTCTGGTGGTTTATGTGCTAATTAGTGAGAGACTACGATTGGCATTGGGGATCGGATCATTGGAATCATCGCAGGCATCACAATCGAACTGGAACAAGATCTGTGCCTAATTTCTCCAGAGCACGTTAAGTTTTTGGGGTCTGGGGCTTTATCTAGTCGAGCGTCGACGGTACTACCTCCGCCAGAGCGGTCCTGGCTTGATTAAGATCTTTCGAGTGCTCGCAAGAGGATCCCCAGTCAGAGATTAAACATGTGGTTGTGGCTGTGGCTATGGTCCTCTGGGGTCTCTGGCTGGTTCCACCACCAACGCGCAGTGGGTCTGGGGCAGTGGCTACTGTCTGCTCGATGATCCCACACCCGCCTCCAAGGCATACTCTGCTCGGTGATGCTGCTGCTGCTGCTGCTGCTGACGCCTCGCTAAGAATCGTGTTTATGCTTTTAATTAGCAACAACAACTTGTACAGTAGTTGCCACAACAACAACAGCAACACAGCAACGGCAACGGCAACAAGTTGGTGCTACTTAGTGCAGATTTCAAGGTAGCGATAGATATATTAAGAAATGTTGACATGTCTCGCTCACTCAGATAAATTTTGATGTAGATTACAGGCAGCCCCCGGATCGCCACGAAAGGCCCCAAAAGATGCGCGGGAGTCCGTCCGTCCGTTCCGCTCCTATCCAGATAAATCTCATTTCATCCTCTCCTCTCCTCTCCTCTGGTTGTGGCCGTAGCCATTAACACGTTTTTGGGCTTTATTTTGTTGAGGTTAATTTTGTTTCTTTTTTTTTTGGCATGCATTACGAAAAGGATGATGGCATTATCATATTATCGCCCATGCTACTGGAATCTTGTTTATGATAAATATTTGCTAGACTTATTAATTATGCCACAAATAGCCAGGTCAGATAAGAAGATTGCAAAAGCTTTAGACATTTTTAAGTAGCTAATTGGAAAAAGTGACGGGGAATGTTCCCACATGGGCGTGTGGGAGGATGGGAGTGGGACTGCCCCAAAGATGGTATTTCAAAGTTATTGATCGTGCTGAGAGATTTCCCATGTACATATATTTCAGAGGTTTCATAAGCATTTCTGTAAACATTTAGCAGTAGGACCCTTCACCACGACCATATCAAATCCCACACGGCCAACAATCGCCCTTCTCCTTGCCAAACATGTGAACCATATGTCAGGAGGTCTGACCACAATCGCAGCATTTAAATCAATATTCATTTTAATTGTACAAATCACCTTGACTTAAATGTGTGTGCGAGAGCCGAGCCACTCGACCACTCAATTCTGGGCCAAGCCAAATCTGTTCTATTATGGCCAAGACGCACAGAGGGACCGGGGGCCCACCGCAACGGCAGAAAACGCGATGAATATTTCAAAGCCAGAAGGCGAACGCGCCGATCCGTTGGCCCCCAGGCCGTGGATGGCGTTCGGTTCACTTTGCATGCCTCGCCGCCGGTTGTTGCATGCAACACTCAACTCACACTCTCGTACTCGCACACAGAGCCGCGGTTGCAGATACACACGGACACAGTGAGATTGTTTTAAATGTTAACATGGCCATTTAGAGGCAATAACAGCGGCAAAATGGCAGACAGTCGACAACGGTCGACGAGAAAGCCAAAAAGGCGCGGGCACTTGCTGTTATTACAACAATATTACCAATATTTATCAAAGCTCTCTCGCTGGCTTGCAAAATCTCAATCCTCTCACCCTCACCCCCCATCACCCACCGGCACCGCTGACCCACCGGGCAACAACTACAACAATGGCCCGATCGACGTCAGCATAAATAAAAATGCTCATACGCCGCATGCGCCATAGAGGACGCGGACGCGGACGCAGACGCAGACGCCGCTGCATAAAAAGACAAATTTATGATTTATGAATTCAACCTTGTAAATAATATGCTCACAAAAGTACACACGGACAGTTCTGCTAAACGTTTGTGCAGCTCCGCCGCTTGCAACAACAAGCATAACGAATGAACAACCAACCAACAATCCAGCAAACTGAGACTGACCAACCTACTTGCACAATTTTTCCGCACAAGGCATGTGGCAAGTGTGCCCCACATCAACCACACTGCCTGCAAGAACCACTGCAAACAACCGAAGCACCACAGCAAGAGCAACAGAAACAGCCACAACTTACTGCTTGTTGTATGATTTTTAAATGCGCGATGAGTTATTTATGCATCGGGCATCGGGCTTTGGTATGTGCGATCCATCGTTAACCCACTGTTGCCAGCGGCTGCGATTTAAGAATCACTTAATAATAAATGGCACCTCATTGAGAAACAAAAGTACATCAATATAATTTTGTACCTATGCAATAATAAATTATATGCGGTACAAATTTTCTCTCCTTAAACACTATTAGGCTGTTACTGGAAAGTTGGCAAGTTTTAGCCATGCTGAGAGATAAAGACTCCATGATCGTTAGAATAGCCATAGAATTAGAATACGATAAATGTCTCAAACAAGTCTATCGGCTTTCAAGCATTATTACCAAATTTCCATTTAAAATTAAAGAATTAAACCAGTTTTCAATAGGGGCTTACAGACAAATATTAATGTTGTATTATTTGCATAATAAGCACATACATAAATCACAAAATTAAGACTTAATTAACCTTTTTGTTTTATTTTATACTCTACTTTATTAAATAAAAAACTAAGCAGTACTACTCACAAGAAAAATTTAAATTAGTAATTGAGTTTCAAATAAGTAACTTAAGTAAGTCAAAGTTGGAATTTCCTCAATACACCCAAACAAATCATCTCGCGAATTCCTTTAAAATTCTTTAGAAACTGGTGGACCATTCCCATTACCATATACCACTACTCAAGGAAGGATTAGCTCTTTTAACATCAATGTACCGTTACAGAACTATTAACATTCTTTAAGAAAGAAAACCCAATTGTTGCATTTACTTATTTTACATTTATGTAGATATTTTTCTATTAAGTTATTAGCTAGCAATATAAAGACAAAAGAAAGGTTTCCACGAATTCCCAGAATTGCTTAAGAATTCCCTACCAATTCCATTAGCATACACAAAGCTCCTTAGTGGGTTAAAGCCGACTGACAGTCAGTGCGAAGGAGACACACTCACATGGGCCTCACAGTGGTACAGTGGAACACACCCGAGTAGGCGGCTGTGAAAACACATGCCTGGTCTGGGCCGGCGGCTAGTTATGTGTGGTGTCCGCTGGCCGCTGTCTGTGGTGTCTGGTGTGTCTGCTTATTAAGCTGTAGCTGTGAACGTGCTCATATATTCTAATTGTTTCCTTATGCCTCTCTTAACCGAGTTCTGTTTCTTTTTCCCGGCTCCGTTGCAGGTTCGATGCCAACAAATCGACCAAGGGCGCCTCCAAGATGCGACGAGATCTTATAAATGCCGAGATAGCCAATCTGAGGGATCTGCTGCCATTGCCGCAATCGACGCGCCAGCGTCTCTCGCAGCTGCAGCTGATGGCGCTGGTCTGTGTGTATGTGCGGAAAGCCAACTATTTTCAACAAGGTAAGCGCCCGATCCCCGAACCCCCAAAGCCCCCAGAGCCCGATGCATATGCATGCTGATAATTGGCTGCACGTTGATTGAATATGCATGAGTCATGAGCAGATGGAGATGGAGATGGAGATTGTGGCCAAGATTGGGGGCCAGAGAGTCCGCGAAAGAAAGATTGAGACCCACCGCCGCCTGGCTGGCTTTCGTTTAGGCCGGAATAAACCGCTATGCGCAGGCGCATGGCTCGGTTTAAATCAACATCATTCATATGTCGAGTGTCCCTCTATCATTCGCTAACCTGTGACTGCAACTACGACTGTGGCTGAAATTGTTTTCGGCCAAGTAATTGCCTAAGCGTCTAGGCACGCACCCAGGCGGGCCGAAATTGCCCAGAGCCCCTCTCGATGCCTCGATTCCTCGAGATGCCAGAGGAGGTCCCATCCTCCTTTAATGCGCATGCTCGCAGGTCAACGCGCAACCGAACAAGATCGTTCGCTCTTTACTTACCCACTTCTGCTGCTATTTTTTGCTGTTTTTGCTGTATTTTTTTGTGGATAATTACGAAAATTGTTTTTCAAATTAGCGTTGTGCGGTACATAAGCCCATAGATAACACACAAGACTCGAAAGACTCTTAACTCTCGGCTCGCATCTCGCATCTCGGCGCAGACAGAAACGGACCCGAAGGAAACCCATGTGAACTCGCGTTTTGCGCGAAACTATTGCAGATCCGTGGCATACCACACCACTGGCATGGCAGCAGCAGCACCACCAACCACCAACCCACTCCTCCACCAACTCTGGCCTAGACCCGACCCGCTCTACGACTATGTCTGGGGCCAGGCAATTTCACAATTGCAATGGTAACAACGAGCGTCTGCCTGGCATTGCTATAAATATTGCGATAAATCAAAATGTGCGATTTATGTGTTCTACAAATTGCAAAAAATTAAACTTAAGTACTGCCTTTTCTCCTTCATCCACATCTCTCCATCCACCTCTCTTTTCGGCTAAGTGTGAGAAATTGTCGGCGTTTTCGTTGGCCCGTATCTTTCGGTTATTTGGGTGTGTTGTTGCTGCCGTGGCTGTTGTTATTGTTCATTGTCATTGCACCGTTTAAAAGCATTTATAATCACAAATTGTGTTAATATTGGCACGCCATCGAAGTCGCTTTTTATTCATCCCCGTCCCCCAAGTTCAATGGATTCATTCGTTTGCTCTCTGGCGGTGTGCCTCTACGAGTACGAGTATGTGGGTGTGGCTTTCAAGATAGTCGCGATTAATGAAATACATATTTATAAAACCAAATTGAGTTTTCAATACAATAAGAATCTTTTCTTTTCTGCTTGGTATGGCAATATCTTCAGCCCGGCGGCGGCTTAAGACGGTTTCAAGACCGTATAATTGGCAAGCATTTAGTATTGTCATATTTGCCAGCGAATCGCAAGAGAGGCATAAAATAACTTGTGAAGTGATCACTGACTAAAAATAGTTTTCGGCTTGCCCCGTGGGTGTGATTTTAGCAAAAGATTCGTACACAACAGGGTCGATAGGCGTCTGGCAAACATCAGCATCACCTTTGTTGTTCCGTTTTTGGCTACTGGACAGGTTTGAAATAGGGTGCTATTCTAAGTTCAAATAATTTGTAAAATCAATATTGCGGTACGTCTTTTATTGTTTGGCTCATTAGACAACTTGCAAGTATAAGTTTATTATTTTTAATGATTTATATTTAATGATCTTAGCAGTAAAAGTGTTTATATTTTTTCGAAGAAAGCCCTTGACCGTAAATAATTTTATTTATAAACATAGTTCAGAAAAATCCTTGAAGTCGATAAGTAATAAACCTTTATTATTTAGATTTTTTCAATACAAATAATTGACTTTAGAAAAGATTCTAATGCTTACCCAATTTTATAGTCGCAAAATATTTTAAATACCTCAAATTATGTATAATATAAATATTTTTTATGAGCAATTGATCGGTTTCAGAGGCAGGTTGAATAATCAAAACCATTCAAACTTCATATTCAACTCTCTTGGAAGCAATAATAGAAAATACCTGTACTACTAAAAGTGTGGTTGTTAATTGGTAACTTGGTAATTGGTAATAATTGTTCAAACAAATGTAGATTAATTTCAAAACAGATTCTTAAGATATTGAGATATTTTCAGCAGCAGCAACATTCCCTTGCCCTTGTATACCAAAAGCTAAGTGGAGAAGCATTGAACTGTCTGCCACACCCCAATGTCGGTTTGGCAGGGGGAAGGAGGGTGGGCAGAAGGTTGAATCAAGTACACTGACGACAGACTTCTTGGCAAAACGGATTTCTGAGTATTCGTATTGTATAGTGGAGTGTATACAGAGGAGTGGATATTAAAAAGCCCGACGAAAATCCGCCTGCATTCATGGCCTTTCCGTTCAAGTTCAATGAAATTACCAGTTGCGGTTGCTGTTGCTGCTGCTGCTGTTGCTGTTGCAGTGATTGTGGCCCGATCATGCTGATTTTGTGGCCGTTTCTTGGCTTTGTTTTTGCTGTGCTTTTCTGTTTTGTTTGCCAGGTGCGGGAGTATCTCGTAGTGTTTGAAAAATAATTGATCTTGATGCGGCCTGCAATGCAGCTGCAAAACTGCAATTGCACTTGGAGATCGCTGCCTGATGTTGCTGTTGCTGATGCCGTTGCTGCTGCTGCTGCTGTTGCTGTTGCTGCTACGGCGGCTGTTGCGGCTGCCTCTCTAAGTGACAATGACACATTTTCTTTTTGTGATTCACTTGTTTTTGTAAGCCAAACAAACATCGTATCGCGTTGCTCATTGTATTTGAAATATAATCAATGAATTAGCAATCAAATGCATTCAACAATTGCCGTCTCCAAAGTGGGAGACAGACCGAGTGTATTATTAACAGATAGTTTTTTAATTAGCCAGGGGTTGTGCATATAAATTACAGCCATGGGAAAATACTCACATCCACTTAGTGCCGGCTTTTTTTTCCGCTTCAGACGGATCTCTCCTGATCGCAGGGCGCGCCTGCGCAAGACACAAAAGGTCAATTAACTTAATAAGCATTATTTTTGATCAATGTGTTTTCCGTTTTCCCCATTTCATTGCAGTATTTAAGCGTCACAATGCCATGCATCACCACCATCATCAGACAGCAACACCAAATATTGGCTTCTCGAAGGTAAGAAACTGATTGAATTTCCCAAGAAATACGAGTCCAACAATTCATATCCAATCGGGGGATAATTAGGAGGTAGATTGCAGAATATCTGCAGTCATTTACCATAACGTATAACCATAGTATAACCCCTACAGCTCCCCGCTTTGATGACATTTTGATTAGGCTCCCAGGGAGCGCAGGACCGAACCGAGAGAAACAACTCAATTTAAGCAATCGCGCAGTGACAACTCAACCGAAAGTTCCCGGGAAAACAACTCTATTAATGGCACAAAAGCTGGCCATATCATAAGTCAGAAATCATTTGTGGCCGCCGCCACTTGCTGCGCCAAAAGCGAGAAGAGGCGAAACAATAAATGCCCGGGCCGGGGAAAAAGCTAGAGATTTGCCCAAAACCACCAGGAGCAGACAGTAGTCAGTCAAGAGCTGCCTGCCTGGCACTGACTGCTCCAGTCGGGCCAGATTGATCTACATACCTGTGCACACTCGTGACTGAATTAAATACTATGTATATCCACCAGCCATAGTCATAGCACTCGTACTACTCTTTTCTTTTTCCCCTCTTTTTTGATTCTCCTTGTGACTGTTTTTGTTTTTGTTTTTTTTTTTTTCGTTTGTCAGTTGTCAACGCGAGCATAGGCCGGGCTTTTGGGCTAACAATTTATTAGTGTGCAGACGCGAAAATGAATTTGCATTTCCAACACAAGATTCAATTTATATTTTTTCACAAAATAGAGGGTGTCACATAACAAGTTGGATTTGATTAGCCAGTTAAGAGTTAGTTGAATTGGCTGCAGGCTTTGTTGATTTTCAATGGGGTTTCAGTTCTGCAAAGTTAATTAAATTATGATTTACCAAATTAAAATAGTATAGATATAAATGTTTGGAAGCATTTGGAGAACAATTTTGATAATGTTTTGGTTTAAATTAAAAATAAATTTATTTAGAAAAATGTCCCAGGAGTATCTTCCGATGCAGGATCTCCAGTATTCGAACATTGAAGTTGCTTAGTATTTTTAATATATAGGATAAAGGCTATAGAATATAATATATAGGATATTATAGGATTCAAACTCTGGCCCAGGGACATGGTTTCTTATTTTATGCATCTGTATTCATTTTAATTGATTTTTGTATTAGAGAGTTATTTTCCGGCCTATCCCCTTCTTTTATCTAGGTTCTTTTAGAGTCATATGTGATAATTACAATACCCTAAAATATTCCTTATTAAACCACCAAAATGTTGTATCTGTTTTCTTTTCTTTCTTCTTCTCTACTATACTTCCCTGGTTGTTAATATTTTAATTCTTAGTTAGCAGTTAATTGTTAATTAAATAAATAAATAGTGGAGAGAGGTTAAAATGGGGAAGAGTACTTTAAAAATTCTTTTTTCAAAAAGAAATTATTAAGTAATTATTTTTATATACATAAGTACATATTTATGAAAAATGCTAAGACAACTATTTTAGAAGAATTGTAGTCCTAGTAAAAATTCAATACCAACAGATCTGCCTACATTAAGCAACCATTTAAACCATCTCAATGGTAAAACTCCTTTACTCATCCACATATTTGTCTTGCAGGCACTTTCCGGCTTCCTGATGATGCTCACACAAAATGGCAAATTGCTCTATATATCGGATAATGCGGCCGAGTACTTGGGCCATTCCATGGTAAGAGTTTTGGCCAAAGTTTGCGAAAGTTTTGGTTTTGTTTGTTGTTTTTTTTTTGGTATTTCCTTCTGCTTAAGGGGTAAAATTGCTACAACCCGTGATACAAATCTCTGACAAGCGACAACAGGCAAACGACGATGCCTGTCGTCGTCGTCAGAGCATGTCATAGACTCGGAACAGCAGCGGCAGCAACATATTTGTTGCAAGTTTTTGTCTGTTGTTGGGGTTGCTGCTGCTGTGGTTGTTGTGGCTGCTCCCGTTGACAAGTTAGCAACTGTCTAAAGACCTAAAGAGCGAGACAGACACAGAGACCCGATTCATTGAGCTTATATAAATCCGTTTGCTTGTACGAGTACTACACAAAAGTTCCTTAAAAACTGCGGCTCGATTTTGCTGTTGTTGCTGTTTTAGTTTTCGTTGTTGTTGTTGTTGTTGTTGGCCGTGTTTCAAGCTTTGTTTATTGCACGTTTATGCTGCTTAAATAGCAAGGTTATACATATCTAAATAAACTTATATCTCTCTATATATACTCGCTATACTCTATACTCGCATAGTATGTAACATGTACTACGTGGCCTTTCACTTTGCATTTGAACCAAAGTTTTAAATAAATCTCAGGCAGCGACCTGAGTGCAGCCTGGCTCACACATGTGACATATCTCCGTTCTACATTGCCAGAACAGACATTGACAAAGGTACGCGAGATTATGTGCCAGGTGATTGTCGGGCTCTTCAAGTCTTCGAGACTGCAACGGGGCGTATGTGCAACGAGCGAAAATTATGCCATAAATCAAAGCTAGCCAGAGCAGCAGACCCAGACCAGCAACAGATCGGATCCCGAAGTGGGTAATTGTTTGTGCAAATGGCTGGGACACTCGTACCCCCAAATACTCGATCAGCTTCCTATCAAAAGGAGGCCTTTCCCTGTGACCAGGCGCTCGACATGTGGTATGAGGCCACTTGTTATTTTTTAGCCAGACAACCTTTCATATCAACTAGAGCCTCATTGCAGCCCCTTGCAGCAGCTAACAACACTCTTGTTGCATGGGGGCCCGCTCTTGAAAGGCAGTCAGAGCATAGACAAGAACAAGACAAGGGGGAAAAAACTTTGCCAATTGGCAACCATGACATTTGACAGCCTTTTGGCCTTTGTGCCGGGCCTTATCAGGAGTGCAGAGGAGTCAGAGTCGGAGCCAGAGCCAGAGCCAGAGCCACAGCCAGAGCCAGAGCAAGACCAAGAGTCTTTGTCAGGGAGTGGAACTGGGAGACACCCACCACAAGCACCAACTAAATGGTCAGTGAAGTTCATAAATTTACTCGTATGCCATGTGTTGGCATAATTACGGGCACAATAAACGGAATTGGTGTGCACATGGACAGGCCCAAAAGTGGATTGCCCAACCTTTTAATTTGTGGCAAGGCTCAGAGTTAGTTAGCGGCAAGAAAACGGCAGCAGCAAGAAGGGTACCACCAGCAGCAGCTACGACTGCGACAACCCACAACGAGCAGCAGCAGCAGCAGCAGCAGCAGCAGCAACAACTACAGGCAAAGTTAATTAACAAACTGCCAAAAATGTCAATAGATCTTGGTAACATTGTTGGTGCTCTGGCTGTTGCTGTTGCTGTTGCTGTTCCGAATAGCCGATGCTGCTTTGGCTATGTCCGATGTGGCTAATGTTGTTTCTGTTGTGCCTGTGTTGTTGGGCATCATAATTTGAATTCGATTTTTGCATATTCCCATAACAAGTTGCCATTGTCATGTGTCATGTAGCGACAGTGGCCATAAATAAATTACAAGTACAACAACGGCAACAACATGCCATTATAAATTGGCCGACCGATCGGTTAGTTTTGTTTTAATCGCTCTCTCTCTCTCTCTTTAACTCCCTCTCGCTGTCTCTCTATCGATCGCTCTTTTGGCCAGCTCTATGGCCATAATTGTCAACTATAATAAAAGCTTATGACATAAACGGCCAACAGGCAACAATTGGCATCACACAGACACACAAAGCCAGCCAAGATGACCGTGCGAAAGCCACAACAACTGGCTGACACATCATTAACAAATTAAAACAATCGACTGACTAATTGAACTGAAGTTTCATTATCCTTAATCTCCATAAATGGGCACAGATGCGCTTTCAGAAAACTGAGCATTTTTTTGGATTCATCGGCATAAATGTGGGTGCATATACGAGAGAGTCCACAGATGACATCAATTTATTGTGATCAGTTCAAGGACAGCTAAATAGGAATAAGTGGGTTACAATTTAACACACAAATTTGAGGGACCTTCTAACAGTTATATTTTTTACATATTTTATTTAAAAAGAATTTTAATAAATTCATTCCGACAAAGTTGAGTTGTAAATTGTACTCCAATTTTTAGTTAAAGATTTAAGAGGACACATTTTATATTCATTTAGATTACTATGGCCTAAAAAATATATTATATAAAATATAATATAATATAATATAATATATAAAAATATATTACTTGGAAAATATCATTTGGAAAATGGACAATAAAATGATTAACAATTAACAATATTATTTAACAAATAATCTTTTAAATCTTTTATTCAGGCTTAATACTGACATTAGTTAGGCGATGATTTGATCAAATAATTATTTATATCGCGGCTGAAACAATTTTATAAAAAATAGGAGCCACTCAGCAGCTGCAAGGAGTTCGGGCTACTACATTATTATCAACGTACTCGTTAAATATACAATATAGCACTATGGAGTATAGAATAAAGCTTATATTTATATTGGAACTTATATTTAAAAAAAACAAAAATACGCAATGTCATCTCCTCTAATTGTTGCTTTTGTACCAAACTATTTGCTGACCAGTGTAAACCCGTGTTAACTCTTTGTATCTCCTCTCTCTCTTTTGCCCTGTCTCTTTAATAGGAGGATCTGCTGATACATGGTGACTCCGTTTACGATATCATTGACAAACAGGATCACGCAACCATCCAGGCCGAGCTGAATCGGAACGTGCCACCGCAGCCAGGTGGCAGCCAGGCGAACAGCGGTGCTGGCGGCGGCGTCGGCGGCATGAGCGGCGACTCAACGTCCAGCAATGGCAGCGTTGGTGGTGTCGGTGGTGGCGGTGGCGCCTCCAGTCTGGAGGGCGAGCATCGCATGTTCCTCTGTCGCATGAATGTTAGTCGCAATGCGCGACGGCAAATGCGTTTCGGCGATCAAAAGGTGAGTGAAGAGCCCAAGGAATCGAGCGACTCGTTGAGTGTGTGTGGATGAGTAAGCGCGTGTAAGTCTCTGACAGAAATTGATGAATGAATCACCTGGGAAGCGTGTTGCGTGTAACACTTGGCCAGACTTTGGAGGCATCGTCTCGAGTCTCAGACTCCACTCCGCTTCAGCTTCGACATCTCGCTCTCTGCCATGAATTATGCATGAGGCGCAGAGACCGGGGAGAATGGAAAAATGGAAATGGAGATGGAGTTGGAGATGGAGATGGAGTTTCAGCATGCGTTTAGTCTGACTCTGGCTCTGACTCTGACTCTGGCGAGCGGCTAACTGGTCATACATCTTGCCAACGAGTTTAGGTTTCTATAAGCTGACAAACGATGACAGTTGATGCGGAACGGGTGGGTGCCCCAAGCTTCTCTCTCTCCCACCTTTCAGCCAACTGCTCTGATTGGCCGCCTCTCCACGGTCTGTTGATGATGATGTGAATAAAAAAGGCAGCAAAATGCCGCAAGAGTATGCCCACCTCAACACACAACAATATGAAGTTGTCAGTGGGTCTGTGGCAGGCAAGCTGTGCTCCTCTCGACGCGGGCAGGTTGAACAAGACAAGACCAAATCTGTCAACGTGTTGAGCGACGCGTTGGCTGTGACTCTGACTGTGGCAGGCAGCCACCGTTGCCCGTTTTGGGATGGATGTGCCCCCGGCTACTGTGCAGAGTCGTCTCTCGCAATGTTGTGGGCGGTCGCTTCACTTTTATTCATATCTCCGATCCGCTCTTTTTTTCGCGTCCATTTTTCTCCTCAGTGCAGCGACACACAGATGTGCGGCGGCGGTTAAAATTATGGAGATAAGGCAAGGCGTTGACAGTTGGCTGAAAACGTTTTTAATTAAGTTGAATGTTGGCAGTTTAATGAGGTGCAGGAAGTGCATGTTGAGAGATTTTCTCATCACTGTACGCGGATAAAGTTGTTAAAAGATTATGTTATGTTGGAGTAGGCCCAAAAAGGTAGCAGAAGAGAGATCTTTGAATGAATGAAACGTGGTGAGAAATAACCAAAAAAAAAAAAAGGATAAAGACAACTACAGAGCTGATCTTTAAGATCTTTTTAAAGTCCTCTTAAATAGACTGGTTTTTAAAACCTTCAGAGGTCAATCATTGTAATTCCATCCTTGAATAAAGATCTTTAGAGAAAGTTTTTCCAAATGCTAATTAACCATCCTATAGCCTAGTAATAATGGTCAACTGTTCGGATCTGAATACCAACATTAGCTACACACAACTTTCGAATCCATTCCCAGCCTAGGAAATCGAATACCTAGCATAAGACCCACATGAACTGTACCAGCGATAACCCTCAAAGTCGAACCCCAGCCCAGAAATCCAAGCGCATTCACTCGCAGTCAGCAGGCAGGCAGCAGTCAGCAGTCAGGCAGGCACACTCGTTAATATGCAATAAAAATGGACCAATAAATAATTATGAATGAGGTCAGGCATAGTTCAGTGCTAGTACCTAGTACCCAGACAGTCATTCTCGTACCCCATAGACAAAAGACACAAAAAAAAAAAATCAACCAACAACAACCAAGAAGAAACGGCGACAGCGCCGGCAGTGGCGCCTGCTCCCCAGTCTAAGGTCGTCTCATTTACCAAAAAATAAAGAGAAAAAAAACCCCAAACGATGCTGGCGTCTGCGTCATCGACGGGTTTGGGGGATCTGGCAGTGGGACTGGGTTTCGGTATCAGGATCGTCGGAGCTGCATTTGCATTTAAGCAGAAGAGGCTGCAGCGGCCCATAAGCTACGAAAATGCAATTGCAGTTGGGACGAAATAAATGCAGGCACGTTTTAATTGGGAGACAATGGCTCGAAGACTGTGACTGACTCTCGCAGACTGCCTCGGAGACTGCCTGGTGTGTGTTTCTGTGTGTGGAGTAGAGGAGGTAGGAGTCCCAGGCTGGAGTCAATACTGGGACAAAACATTTCTGTGATTGCCTTTTTTAAATTATGGAATCAGAGTAAAATGTCTATGAGAGAGAATCCCGGCATGCCGAGCCAAAAATGGCCATACTACTGCCCGCCAGCCAGTAACAGGGCAACGTCGTTGGGCGCCAATTTTCGTGGGAGCCAGCCGAATGTGGTCCCAGAGAAAAACTCCAGATCCTCAACTCGTTCTCGCTCTGCCTCTCTGTCTTGCAGGTTGTTCTTGTACAGGGTCACTATTTGTCATTTCTGCCGCTCTGCAGTCGGAACGAGCCCGTCTTCTTGGCCACCTGCACGCCCATCGCCATGCCCGAGACGCGGGAGTGTGTGGTACAAGGTGCCACCAATGTGTTTACCACGATCCACTCGATGGATATGAAAATCGCACACATCGATAAGAAGTGAGTAGCCACCGAAAAATATTGGATATATTTAGTAAATGATTTTTATTATGTATTCATTAATAATCATTTCTTTGAAATCCGTTTATTGTTTGATCTTCTTAGTGGAGAGTTCCATTTGGGCTATGAAAAGAGCACATTGCAGGCAACATCTTGGTACAATCTGATTCACAGCGAAAACCTTCGGGAGGCGCAAAGCAAACACAGGCTAAGTAAGTGATTATTAATGTTTTTCCTTAGTATAAATATTCAATTTAAAAGTGGAAATGTATAGTTTTGAATTCTTGTATTCGATTTCATGGCTATAATTTAGGTTAAATGAAATCTTGAACGATATAAGCTCAAATCGAGCAGAAAAGTCTATAAAATCCTTGTAGCTGCTTAGAATTTATTCAAAATAAGTCTAAATTGATAAGTTAACTAAAAAAGAAACTACTAGATAATGGATTAAATTAATTTGATCTGACATCAAAAGTTTCAGAATCTTATATCTTTTGAGATCAAAATCATAAAAATGATCAACATCATTCAATCCGCTTGAATGGCTTTATGGATCTATAAAAACCTGTTTAAACTACAAATGTACATAAATGAAATTTAGAATTAAATCAGAAATTGATTGTAATCTGAAACGTTGAATGAGTAGCATTTTAAATCGATTAATATATATTGAAGTGATTGAAAAAATGCATCTAAAAAAATTCAACAAAATTGATTTGATATCTAATATTATTAATTCAAATCTTGAAAAATCGGGCTTGCCCCATAGTGATAATATAATAATTATATTTAAAAAATTAATTGATATTCCATTCACAGTAACCCAATCGGAACAGGATCGCAGCTGTATCCTGCTAGTGCGAATGCAGCGCTCCAGTGGAGAATACACGTGGGTCCATGTGGTGCTACAGGTGCGGGATAGTCCAGACTCCACCCAGCAGCCTGTGATCGTGTGCACCAATCAAGTTCTCAAGTAAGTAGAAACCTCTCCGAATACACCAATCCATATCCACCTATCCAGAGACACACGATAACCCATGGATAACCCTAAATCGATTGCATTTTTAGTGATCGCGAGGCTTCTGTAATGCTGGCCAACTCCTGGCTGTACCACTATTACACCGTACAGTCAAAGATCCAATTTGGTATGCCGCTGGACAGCGGTATGCGAGTGCCACCCGGTAGCTCCTCCAGCGGTTATTACAGCCCCCATTCGACGCACTCGCAGCAGACGCAAGGTGGTAGCACTCCCGGCCTGAGCATGACGAATGCCGCTGCTGGGATGACGACTGTGTTTGGCAGTCATCATCATCCGCATCACCCGCACCACCATCATCATCACCACCACCCAGCCGCGGCCTATCATCATCATCCGCATATGGGGAGTTATGGCGGCGTCTATCACGCGGAGGCGGCCATCGAGCTGAAGGAGGATCAGCCACTGTTCAGCTTCCAGGAGCCCGTCGACTATAGTCAGGTGAACGGTGGCGCAGGGAGCGGTGGCAGCCCAGTCACACCTATCGCCACCACAACCCCCAACCCCTCTAGTAGCGCCAGCCAGAAGTCCACTCAATCAGCCACGCCTCCGCCTCCAAAAAAGCGTGCCCGGAACAAGCTGGAGCCGCTGTATCTGCATGCAGAACGCTCCCCGGCGGCAGCGATTACGCCGGAGCCGGACTGTTACGCCCTGCACCCACATCCGGCGACGGCATATGCCTCATCCGCGGTGGCCAGCAACGATGCCTCGGTCATCTATGCCACCATTGTGCCGACGAGACCACGGCTGCCGAACAAATCGCTGCCCCCCGATCCGGCGGACTTCATCGAGCAGTGGAATCCCAGTCCGCCGTGGTCAGAGTCGGCCCAGAAGGCCTCACTGGACAGCTTTGGGTCCTCCCACGAGCTGAGTCCCTGTATCACGACCACACCGCCCACGCCCACCAGTGCGACGCCCCACCAGAGTGGCCTCGGCACGCAGACCATCGGACCGGCCTTTAGCTTTGAGTGGATGTCCGATCCCCTGGTGCCACTGACCTATCAGCAGTGGCCACCCACAGGAGACCATCACCAGCAGCTGTCACAGCACCTGGCCGCGACACAGCAGCAGCAGAATCAGCCACATCATCATCATCATCATCCGCACCAGCATCATCATCAGCAGCACCAGCATCTCATCCTCCAGCAGCAGCAGCACCAGCAGCAGTCCCAACAGTTAACACTTCATCATGTCCACGTGGCGGGGGGGACGACAACAACAGCGACAACGCGTGCGGAGCATTCCATCGATGGGGTAGCGCCGGTTCCGTCACTACCGATACCCATACCCATACCGATACCCATAGCGATACCGCTGACGGTGACCACGGGCCATGCAGATGCCGGAGAACCGGTTGAGGATAGAGGTTAGTACATTTTGATTGGCACGATTTTTTATGAAGCTGCGGCCAATTGGCGGACCGATGCTAAGTAATTAAGGTCGACAAAAACATAGCTATCCCATCCCCGAAACTAGTAAAAAGTATCTTAATTATTGATAAGACCGGAGGAGATTCTTTGGAGCTTCCGCCAGCCACCAGCCACTAGCCACATGCCACGCTTATGCTAATGCCCCTCGCCATCGCGCTCCCTCTTCTGCTTGCAGATCCCAAAAATTAGTGACCGGCAGAAAGCTCGGAAATACCCAGAGATCGGATCAGATCGGATCGGCTTGCAACGGCGGCCAGGTGATAATCACACTTAAATTAATTGCCACTTGTCATCTTAGCGTTTAAATTATTTTTATCTAACGAAACACACCCAAATGGAAAACAATAAATTCTCGCTATAACACATTCATTTCTCCACGAGTGTATATCAACTAATTTAAGTAATTTCCATAGAAACCATTGTTTTCCCTCTCTTCCGTCTCCCTTTTCGTATGTGCAATCTCGGAAGATACTTAAAAATATATGCAATATACATATATATGAAAATAACACTTGGAAATTAGTTTTGCGATAGGAAACAGCAGCAGCAAAGCAAAGGCAAACAGCACTAAAATTAATATAACAAAACAAAAAGCAACACCAAGCCAAGAGAGCTCTATTAGTTGTAGCCACAGTTTTTTATTAGCGTTATTTTTTATGGCATGCGCTTGAACATTTTTACGACTATTTCTGTATCTTGTATCTGTATCTTGACATATACCCGTACATGTGTGCATTAACTTCGTGCGTAATTCGTAGACGATTTAGGTTAATTATTTTATTTATTAAACGTTTTATTTATAGACATATTTATTACTATTATGCTTTGCTTTATTTAATAAACAAACATTTAAAGTATGTATTTTCGTTTAAAAATTCCAAGAACTTGAACCGACATTTTTATTTGAGTGGAACTGGGATGGAACAATGGATTGAAAATAAAATGATATTAACTGGAGTCAACTCAATAAATATTTGGAGCTTAAAAAATTTAATTCGATCCGCCTGAATAAGGCTAAAATAAATAATAAGTAAATTCATTGGGAAAGCTTCTCTGTAAGTGCAAGAAAATATTGTACAACTGTACTGGTTTTGAAATTTAAATTGAGCTTCGAACTCTATAAACCAGTCTATCCTTTCCATTAAAAACCCACTAATGATCATCATTTGACCCAAATCACCCCACATATCATAAAAAAGCCCAAAATCTAAGGGAATTTGCCTTCTAATCTGATCATATGACGACAAAATCGATTTCCATAATAGCAAACAAAGCGCTATGGGAAAATGTCATGATTTTCTTAAGTCTTCCATTTAATGCCTTGCACTCTGAACCAGCAACCGAATTCGCTTTCGCCCAAAACGAAAAAAAAATAAAAAATCGGAGGGAAAACAAAACGAAAATTCAAGCCCCGAAAGCCACTCCCCATACCCAATGCGCCAAGTTTGGGTAACATTCATAGACATTTTCAGTTTCAAACTACTCGTACTCGTACTCGTACTCGGACTTGGGGCACCACTTCATGGTGACGACGACGCCGAAGAGACCCCGGCGACGACGCAGAACAGACGCCAGACAGTTGGATTTCACACACAGGCCCACTCGAGCCCGACGATGAGGAGGCAGGCAGCAGGCAGGCAGGCAGACTCCTTTTTTCGGCTGCTGCTGCTGCGGTTGCGGCTGCGGCTGCTGTTGCAGAGATCTTTTGGTGATATCCAACAAATATTGTAAGTAGAATGGCCAACAAAATAACAGACAAACAAAAAAAAACAAAGCAAACAAAAAGCAGAGAAAAGGCAGAGAAGAGACAAAAAACCAAAAAACCAAAAAAAACTAAACGGAATGGAACGGAACGGAACGCTGACGATGTAGACGCCGCAGCTGGCGCGATTGAATGACTCCTCGTCGTCGTCCGTTGTCGGTTGTCTGAGATACTGACTGGCTATGTGACTGAGAGATGGAGACTGGAGACGAAGCTGGAGATGGAGACCTGGGACTGGACGACGACGACACACTTACAGGCGACGACGTCGTCCAACCAACAGCAGCATTCTCAGAAATATTGGTGTAGGTCACAGTCAGAGATAACATGCTGCGGACGGACTGTGTGTGCGGCTCGGCTCGGCTCGGATCGGCTCTCAGTCCTGGCCCGGCCCGGCCCGGCCTGGCCTCATTGTATGCAAATGTGCCACGATCAACGCGAGCCGTATAGCCAGCCAGCCAGCCAGCCAGCCAGCCAGCCAGCCACCACCCGCCCAGTCCGATCCAAGACCCCAGCTCCTCCGACCAACCCCCCGGCTCACATCTGCTCCATCTCCTTGCTCCTGACGCTACTGCTCTTCATGGGTGCCAGAATCGTTTTGTGTGCAAGTTACTCGCATTCGCGTTTTCTGTATTTCTGTGTTTTTTTTCGCCTGTTTTTTATTTCGCTTTTTCCTTATTTTTTTTTTTGTTATTTTGAGTTGTGCGATTTTTGGCATTTTTGCATTTCCTTTGTCCTAGCCAGAGATGCTTATGTAAGCGACAACGAAGACGGCGACGATTCCTGGCTACGGGCCAGGAGCAGCACGAGGATTGTTACATATTTCCCCTCAGCTTTTAATATTAGCCAAAAGACCAGAATCACATAAAAACAGAGCTGATGGCGGATTCAAGTCTATCGAAGATTGTATTCCCTGCATGGAATAGAGAGAGAAGAATGGAAAGAAGATCTGTTAGTGGTTGCTTATAAATATATTAAAATGCTGAGGAATATTTTATATTTATTTTATTTAATGTAATTTAATGTAAAATAGATGTTTAAATAAATTATTATATATTTTATCTCACTGAAATTTGTATAAAAAATTATCTCTTTTCCTGTAGCAAAAAATGAATATTAAATGAAAGCACAATCGTTTGCATCTTCTTGATTTCTTCCCCTCAAAACGGAATCTCTGGCATTACAATGTTAAACCTCCTCCCATCTTGGAAGTGTATTTCAAAAGGTAAACAACGTTAAGAAATTTATAAATAAACGTCGACGACAATGGGAACGCTGCACACAAAACCGAAACAAAACATTTCAACAGGAACAACATGTAATTTTTGTACTCCTGCCCTGTGCCTCTGGTGCCTGCCCCCTGCCCCCTGCCTGATTCCTGCCTCCCACAATACCGACCATATGCAATGCCTTGGCCGGGGTCACGACACTTTTTGTGGCAACAGAGGCAGCAGGAGCAGCAGCAGCAGCAGCAGCGGCAGTGGCAGAGAGCAGACTGAGTCAAATAGTGGGAGAAGTATGGCAAAAAGTCCCTCCCGAGAGCCTAAGGCTGGCCTCGGCCTCGATCCCGTCTCGTGCCCCGATCTCGCTCGGTGCCTTATTGTTTGGCCCAAACGGCTCTGGCCCGGCTGGAGCTTGGACATTTTACAGACCCCAGCCTGGACCTGGGACCTGGGACTGGAACTGAACCCGAACCCGAACCCGAGCTATGGCGACTGCCTGGCGTCAAGAGAATGCGTTGGGCTTGTTGCCTTTTGGCTTTGATTTCGCATTGTGGAACTTTTTCCTAGGAAAAAATGTTACATGAAATTAATAAATAGGCAAATAAATGTTAAACAGCTGCTGTTTTGTATGTGTTCTGGCCGTTGTTGTTGTTTTTGTTGTTGGTGTTGTTGTTGCTGTTGTTGTTGTTATTGTTGTTGCCGTTGCACGCTGCACGGTAGCCATTGTGCTGCACACAGGGTGGTGGTGATGCTTGTGGTGCTGCTGCCTCGCCTGCTGGTGGTGATGATGTAGCAAAAAGACATTTGCATAACACCACGGAGATCAGCACAGCACTGCACACAGAAAACCCCCAACAAGGATTCTCTGCTGCACTCTCCCCCTATCAGTGTTTCCCAGGCCTTAACCATTTACTTCCTGCAACAGAACCAACCACCTACTAAGCAAGGCCTCGGGGGCGGTGCAGCCAAATGTCGGATTGTCTTCGCCTTGCCACTGCATGCCAAATCATTTTTATGCAGTTCACAGCAATTGCTATCGGAACTAATGCCCGGCATACGGCTATAAAAACAAAGCCTCTTTCGAGCCAAATATATTCCGCTCCGCCCTCACCAAGAGCTACATACGAATATCATAACTAAAGACAACAAACCAGGCAACGAGAGAGCTGACCATTAAGATGCCCTACACAGGAAAGGAGTAGGCATGTGGGTGCAATGAAGTACTTAAACATAAGGCAAGGAAAAGATTTAGTAATCAAGTTTAAGTAGAAAAATATATTTTAGGTGTTGATCCTTAAGATGTTGGTTCAATAATACTTTATGCTTCAGTTGCTTGGGTTCCCGACAGTCTTAAAATTCAAAATCCTTGGTTAAAGTGTAAAACAACTTCGAATTAATATCCCCAGCATGGATGGACACACACTTTCCATCGTTTGAATTTCAAATGCGACCAGTTAGGAGGCGGCTTTTGGTGCTATATTAATATGTAAGTCGATCCGGAGAGCATCTAACTCTGCAAAAACACAACAAACATAATAATTCGTCTATAATTTATACACATTTGTGGGTAAAATGTGTACAAGCATAATTTACACATAAACAAGGCAGAAAGCCAGCCAAACATCGTCTCAGGGGGAGCCAGGGAACACAAGTCTTAGAGAAAACAGAAGAAGGAGCAACAAACCGCATTTTCAGCTGAAGATGAGCCCCGGCCCCTGTCCGGGGACCAGGTGACTGAGAAATTGATCAACGCTGTGGCGGGACATAAACTAAAAGCTTATTTAACATTAATTTCGCCACGAAAATCACAGAGCAATTTTAAACATCAGTTACATCCAGCGGGGATCGAAGGGGGATCGACCCGGAGTCCATATGCGAAACTCTCTCTCTCTCTTTCTCTCTCTTTCGCTCTTTCTTCTCTGCCCCACACCTGTCTGGTTGAGTCCCGTGTAATCTAAGCTGCCATTAAACAAAATACAAGAAAAAACTTACGAAAACATATGCTACATATTACCGCTGACGGGGGAGGGAGAGAGGTGTGCTATGGCTGTGTGGCTCAGGGCTGAGGCGGGGTAGAGGTAGGTGGCAGTCGCATCGCCCAGTGACGGAAGTAAAGAAGCAAGCCGCACCATGGAACGGAAGGCAATTCTATTTGAAATAAAATCTGTAGGGAATTTATCCCGAGTTTTTGATTCTTAAAAGATTTTTAATAGGGTGTGCACCTAATTTAAACAGATTACAGACATTTGTATAAAGGGAACCATTACTACTTGAAAAGCATCCCTGGCGATAAGGTTATTCGGCTGAAAATTAATTGTATTATGCTATATTTTATGTATAAAAATGTATCTTAATAATTTCTTCTATATCTTAGGCCCAGCTAGTCAGTCATTCATTCGTTCTATCGGACAAAGAAATTAATATAAATGTTTAAGAACAAATTTTGCAAAATTTCTCCCATTGTACAACGACCTGCCGGGCTGGTTGTTGCTCGGCTGTTTGGCAGACAGGCCGCCAGGCTTTAGTGGGAGAGCTGCACAGACGAAAAAAAGCCTCTCCACGCTGGGCAATTGCACCTGCCTTGGCCTGATCTGCTCTACTCTGGCCCGCTCTGTTTTGGGCTTGCTCCAGAGTGCTCTGTGGGATCGCGCGCTCCACTGCAGGCGCACTCGCACTGGCAGTCGCAGTCGC